GGACACAACTTAACGACTGAACAACAACAAAACTGGAAAGCTAGATGGTTTTTCTCTGGAATACTTGAGAAGAGCTTCTGTGTGCAAGGACTTGTAAAACAGGAAGCCAGAGTCGTCATCAGTTCAGTGCGTTCCTATTTAGTCTGACATTTACCATACCCCTGCCCAACGTTTTCTCTTGTCATAATAATTGTAGTAAAGTGAATTTGCATGTTTTGGTTCAAATGAAAAATCAGATAGTGTGAGCCAGAATCAGATATTATGAAGTTGAGTTCTTGTAAAGGAACTTGAATATTTTGTCCTTTAAAGATGAGTCTTCTAGGAAGCACTTGATACCAGCATACAACTATAAACTATATTACTAGTTTTCATCCTCTGAAATGGTACAGCATATAAATGAAGTAAAAGTACTGCTCCTGACATTTAAATATGAACCTTCATTTTACTTCTAGGGCTTTGGTTTGGGTTGTTTGCCATTGCTTTGGCAAAGTTCTTTTCTGATGGTGCTTAAATACTTGATGTTAGACTACAAAGGAACTTCTCAAAATACTTATCTACATTAGTTGACATCCAGGTGTTTAAATGCTTTAGCATATATTAAAGCACAATCTATAATTTATTGCAAGATGAAATATAGCAACCAAATGGAACAATTAGCATATAGAATTGGAACAGCATTTGTGAAACTGACATTTCATTTGCGTGTATCATATTCTTCGTCTCTAATTTTAAACAGCTTATGTTGGAAATCTGCCAGCTTGAAACTATTACATAACTATGATCAACATTCAGAATCTTTTCTGAATTTAAAGAAATCTGCACTTAGCATAATTATTTAAAGCCAAGGTCAGAGAAAGTATTTAAACCTTTGAAATTCTTAATTAAAGGATTAATATTAACTCATGATGACATTGTCATTTTTGCTTAAAAGCTGAATTTGAATCACATTCCCTTTTTTCCTTAGATCTTTTTATATTTGAAACACATTAATGGGAAAAGTTAACTTTTCCAAATTAAAGTTACATTGCTTTATTACTATCATATATTTTCTTTTAAAAAGTAGCTGACTTGAAAAAAAATAAGATAAAACTATAGTAATAACTAATACCAACTTAAACTTATGCATGATTGCCTGTATCTGCAGAAACAGAACCAGTTTGCAGGGAATTATATGGCAAGTGGACCAGTTATAGTCTACAGCAGTACATGTAATTTGAACAAACATAACATGCAAAATCTGTGTGATACTTATTGGATAGAGAATGTATGAAGTTTGGTGGTTGGTAGACTAGTGGACTGTTGGGCAAAAGTTGCTTTACTTGAGGCACCTAGTGTTTGAAAGGTTGAAGACTGCTGCTCAGCCTTCCAACCGTCTGAAGGCTACATAAGACCATTTGCTGATGCTGTGATATTAAAAAAAGGGATATGAGTAATTTTTTTTTTTTTTTTGCCTGTGTTTTTAACTAGGAATGGGGGGATTTAAAAGTGGGAAATGGAAAAGAGAGGCCTCCTGGGTACAAACCACTTATAGTTCTCTGCTTAAAACTATCTGAAAAAAATGAGCCAAAGTAATGAATGGTGCAGTCTTGGTGCTCTGGAGGCTGTGGATTGCCCACTCCTACAGTGTATGAAATACCTAGCTCAGTAGTGTTTATGCTGATTTAGCAGTAGTTCTGAAAGAGTTGTGGAGCAGCTGCATTCAACCCCCCTACCTCCCCAGTATTCTACAGACTGAACCTGAAATTTTGTGAATTCAGATGTGCTTTTGAAGCTCAAGTTCATCCACAA